TAGGAAGATAAAAGGGATGATGTCATAAAATTTCTCATGTCAGGCATAACAGTTTTGGGAGCAATCTGGCATTCCTGTGACACATATCAGAGTGGGACATTCCAAAGCAAAACTCAATAAATTAATTATGCAATATGAAAATCTTCGGAAACATAAAACAAGGAAGAACTTCCCAGCCGAGAGTGAAAGCTTTCTCAAATCTCTTCTTCTACTCTTTGACCTAGCACATGACAATGCCATTGCTATTATAGAACATTACAGATATAGGACTATAGAAATGATTCTGGAAGACGTGCAATTCTTAGAAGATCAAAAGATACCATAGTCTCTCGAGAAGATACCACAGTCTCTTAAAACTGAAGGATGCCTAATCAATCATCACGGTAAAAAGGTAAAGGTTCCCCTTGACAGTTTTTTTCCAATTGTGTTCGACTCTAGGGGCTGTGCTCATCCCTGTTTCCAAGCCATAGAGCCAGCGTTTGTCTAAAGACAATCTTCCATGGTCACATGGCCAGTGCGACTTAGACACGGAACGCTGTTACCTTCCCACCGAGTTGGTCCCTATTTATCTACTCACACTTGCATGCTTTTGAACCGCTAGGTTGGTGGGAGCTGGGACAAGCGATGGGCGCTCACTCCGTCACGTGGATTCGATCTTACAGCTGAAGATTTACAGACCTTACAGCACAGAGGCTTCTGCAGTTTAACCTGCAGCGCCACCACGTCCCTAATCAATCATCAAAGGTCATGTAAAAAAATGGAGTTAGGTGGTCTTGATAAGACACACATTGCAAAAGTTATGAGGGTCTGAACTTATAATGAAAAAGAAACTGAGTGTGCTGTGAGGGAGAAGCATCACCAAGAAGAAGCTTCAACCAAGTTAAACACAAGTAGTAGCCTAGAACTGGATAAATTTGGTTTAGGTGGTTACCATGATTCAAGTGATTTGGATGGCTTGGATGCTAAACCTGATTCAACTGAAGATCAAGAGTTTGTATTTCCTTCAACTAGCAGTGGTGCAACAGGTACAGATATTATATTTCATAGAAAAAGTTCATCAGTTGCTTTAACACTACCCAGAAATCCATTTACAAGCAAAACCACATCAACCATGGGAGACAGGCTTAATCTATCAGCTGGTCAACAAATAGCATTCATGGGAGCAATTCTTACAGAAGGTGGAGTTCCACTGGAAAAAATAACTCTTTCAATTAAAAGCACATGGACAGCAGGTAAAGAAG